AGGAATCTTGCTGTTTCTCCACTAATCATCTGGAAAAATATGGGATTTTGCCTTGAAAATCATGCATTTATTTCAAGACAGGCTAGTCCATTGGCTGAAGACAGCAAGGCTGAGGAACAGTCACAGCACACTGGCTGAGTAGTCCTGTTCCCACCTGACAAGAAGTGCCAGAATGACATGGACTACACCTCGAAATCTGACTGACCCATTTCTTCTCCTGCCATTGATAAATCCACTGCAGAACATTCTCCTGTTCACTGGCCCTGCATCCTCACTGAGCTGGGTAGCTAAACCAGCCCTGACAACCAAATCCTGTACTTCTTCAAATGGGGAAAGGTCTCAGCAGCAACAGAATTGTTGTGTTTATTCAGACAGACATGATAGTTGCTTTATTTTAGCCTGATTTCCTAAGGAGATGAAGCTTATTAAGGGGAAATGCTCTCAAAGGTACAGTCTTACAGAAGTCACAAAAATAGTTAGTGAAGTGAAGAGACCTTAAGCATACCTCAGGTGAGGAAAAAACCCAAAGTGAAATGCTTAGCATTTTCTGACACCAAAGGATCCACAGGGGGGTGGCTTTCTTCATGCCTCATTAGGAGAAAGACCTAAATCAGTATAAGAAACTTCTCAGATCCTGCAACCAACGAAAAGAAACAATTCTATAGGGAGTCAGATTTCTTCCATTCCTGTGCTCTCAGCATTATTGTTTTAGACCTCCATTCCCAGGTTCTTCTACCTTCCCAATCTCATCTCTATTTTCTGCTCTGTGTTTAACAAGCACTCATTTGGACAAAGGGCTTGAGGCTCTGCCCAGGCAGGAGGCAACTGCAAGACAGATTCTCTAGCTACGCATGTAGAATCATTTGGAAAGAAATTAAATTTAACAGCTCAGAGTAAGGAATTAGCTCTGACAATGTACATCCAGGCTATCCTGAGAAGCAGCCTCAGGGGACTCTGAGGGCAGCTTCCAAAACCTGCCCTGCTACCATCCCAGTAGGAACTGGTCTTAGCCCAGAAGTCTTTCTGTGTTAAAGGCAAACTGTGTTATTGCCTGGAAGCTCTGAAATTCAGTCATTCTGGTTTCTTGATGTGAGTGCCCTGCCTGCAAACCCCCTGTGTGGGGATGTGCCCCACTTTATATGTAAGAGACAGGGATGTGGCTGCAGGAGGTACAGAATTCCAAAGCTCTACAGGAATTTGTTTAGACACAACTCATTCTTTGGTGGATAACGCACTTTTCTCATTAGGAAGGTCATTTGCATATTCATTAGAAATACGGAGGTGGTGTATGGGGGGGGAAGGCATCCTATGTTTCATGGCACCTAACCTTGCCCCAGTAGCCAGTGGTACATCACAGAGATGTGATTCATCTCTGCAAGTCACGGATGGTTTCCTCATCCTGTTTTACTGTGCAGGTGTAGAATCTGCCAGCTCTCCTTGAAGGGTTTTAGTTTCTGTTTGAACCTTTGTAATATTGCCCTGAAGTGAATTATTTCCTTGAGTTATGTCAGCTTCTTAGATAGCTATAAACTGGCTTAATTGTCTTGACTCGCACCAAGTTCAATGCTTCAGTGAGCACCATCCCAGATACTTCAACATAAATAAAACAACTGCAAAATCTGAGTTCAGTTTCTTCAGCACTTACAGCAGTTGCCCTTACATCAGTTTAAAACACCACAAGCCTTAGGTAATTAGGCATTTCAGGTTTTTATGTGCAAGATGTTTATCTAATGAAGGAGAAAATAAATTATGCATTTGCTTCTCCTCCCCCAAGTTGTTTGCAAGATTTCCAGGTAGACCATAAACTCATTAGAAGACAAGTACATGAAGCACGGGCAGGGATCAGCAGAAACCTGGTGTAGCTCTAATTAACAGCCTAGCAAATTCCCAGGAAGAATAGCCTGAGCCTTCAACATTCAGAAGCCTGCTTGGCTGTCCCTGATGAGGAATCACAAAGCTTGGCTCTAACCAAGCACAGAAGGGTCTCTATGAGGCACATTCACACTACTGTGCCAACAACTCTGCTCTTTTATAGCTTACATATGCACCTGTCCTTGACAACAAACAATTAAAAAGCCCCACAAGACCATTATCTGATAGGTGGAAACAAAGATTTGAAGGTTTTGCATTAATAAGCAATCAAAATTCAGAGTTTATCAGAAGAAAAAAAGGCCTAAATGCATTTGCATTATGTACAAATACCCTCAACTTACAAGATCCATCACGTAAACACCCATGGCAGGAGCACAACCAGCTTTACTTAAATTTGCTGTTTCTGCTGAGACAGGCAAGTAAGGTACTTACAAAGGAAACATACTTGAGTTTTTAAATCATGACAGATGGTCTTTGCTGCAGGTCTGAAAAATCTGAATCCCTGATTCTGAACCATCAATCTTCTCATGAAGATTTCCAGCCACAAGTTCTTTGTTCCAAATAAAATGTCACTGGAACTTCTCATCTGTACCAGATTAAATCTTCTCAGCACCCTGACTGTTGTAGCAGTGCATGTGACAAATAGCCTCTAAAAAATTGAACTTTTTAATTATTAAAAAGGATGATGTTTTTATTTTGTTGGGGGTTCTTTTGGTGGTGGTGTTTTGTTTTTTTTAAGAAGAATAATATGTAAGGATAAGAGTCCCCTGTTGTCCAGCTGGTTGACAACAACTACAAGATGCAAGTACTTAGCACCATCCTTGCTTAGGCTGCTCAGAGTCAGAACAGAGGCTACATTTACTGATGTCTGCTGCGAGAAGGCTGGTACATTCCAGTTCCACCACTCTGGTATCAGCAGGTGCATTTCAGGCTGCTCACTCTCTGGGGCTGAGAATTCCTTAGCTGTGTGTTTGCCCAGTGTGGAAGGGCTCTGCTCTGCCATCAGAGCTCCTGGGTGTTAACACGAACACACAGATTTCCTTTGCAAAAGTAGACTTTTGAGTGGAAGCCACCAATAGTCACCCAAACAAGTGTCAAGAGGAAGGGAGGAAAAAAACAACAACTCACCAAGAGGCACAAGGGTGAGTGGAGAGTGACCTGGGGCAGACTAGTATATGTCATTAATAAGAGGAATGCTAACATTGAG